CACATCCCTTCTCCTGCCAGCTCCACATAACGTGAGGCCATGTTGATCCCTTAGCAGCCTGCAACAGGAATTAGTCTGCAGACTCCATGGCCTGAAAGTCCTGTATCCTACACACTTCCAGCTATTGAGCACTGATGGAACAGTCTGCAGGAAAAGCCCAGCTGATTAATGGAAAAAAATAAAATCCAATTCCTCCTAAATCTTCCACCATGCATCACAGAGAAACCATCAAACTGTGCCAGTCTACTTTAGCTTTAGCTTTTGATCTTCTTTAATCTCCTAGTAAGAACTAAAAACTTAAATTACAAAAATCAATAAGTTAATGTTCAAAATGTGCTAAAATGAACAGAATTTCAGCTCAAAATCCTTTTCTTTAATAACTATAGCATATTTCATTGCAGGGGAAGAAAAAAAGTCCTTAGAAAAACTAATTGCTAATTTTAATGCCATAAAAATTGCATAGATGTTTTAAATTACAAGAAATGGATCTGTAACATCTTGACTATTTAAACAGAAGCAGATGGTTTACATGGCTTTACTGCTTAATTAAACATTTATATGGTCTATAAAATTATATCTGATAGCATTCTGTCTGATTGGCTTTCTAAATTTAAATCACCAAGTAATTTCTTGTATGCACCCTATTAACCAGCAAATTATTTAAAATATTCATATCCAATACTAACTAACCAACCTGGCTTCTATTTTCCAATACACGTGAAAAATCTAATTGTCCACCCCTTTCCTATTTCTTCCCCATGGTAATACTAACATTTTCTCATAATTCTTCTGGGTTCCTTTATTTTAAATAGTCCTAAATTAATACCCAGTATTTTAGCCTTTCACTTCCTATCCCCCCCTTCGCTAACACAGAAATAGCAAAATGGGAAAAATAAAATGGAATTTATTTCATTAAGAACTTAAAACCAACTCCAAACAAGATACAGGTATGGATGCTACTATGAGAGTAAAATGCACCTACTGATAAGTGTGAAAGATCTGAGACAGATGATAATGAAGAAGTTCCTTAGAATCCATGTCATGAAAACTGACAGCTAGGAATAGGCATGTTTTCCTCAGGTTGTCCAGGGAAAAATAAAATCAGGTTACATAGTTCCACAAATCCACAATCACATGGTTGGAAGAAACAGAGAAATGCAAAGAAAAGACTGAGTGTAGTGGGTATACCAAGTATAAATTTGATGTGGAAATTCCAGCAAAAAGAAGCGTTTTACAATTATTATTTATTGTTATTGTCTTGACTTTTAAAAGCTGATTCGAAACAAACATATCAAAAGGCAGAAATAGAAAAAACAACCATACAATTACCAAGCCAGCAGCCCGTTTGATTGTATGACTACTAAAGACCACCTTAGATTAGAATAAACTTCATTCTGTTGTGGCTTATAGTTCAAATTGGTGAGAAAAGGTAACACCATCCATTCTCTGCATAAATGGCCCTGCTCAGTTACACTTCAGTATGATCCTTACGTAAGGAGATGGCAAATGCCTATCACAAAAGTGACGCATTAAGTTGCTTTTAAGTGACTTGTGAGTCAGGTAAATTCATTAGGGTGGCAAGTCATTACACCCTCCACATAAATCAAAAGCCCTAGCACTGAGACATGTTGCACATTTTAAGCTACAGCAGCTTTTCCTGGTTCTTTCTGGGCACTTGTTCAGCACTCCACAGCTCAGAATTCCATTAAAATTTGGGGGTCTTAGCTGCTTTTCTTGACCCAACACAAGTCCACACCAATGAGCAGGGGAGCAAGCCAAAACATTAACAGATATTCCTTAATGGATGAAATGCAACTATGTCACAGCACAGTTCTTTATACTAGACCAGTACAATGTAGAAAGAGAAACAACCCTATTTTCACATGTAGACATGCAGGCATGTATTGTAATTGAAAGTAGCAGTTGGAAAAACAAAAACAAACAAAGAAACCCAAACAAACACAAAAAAACAAACCTGAAACATTTTCTTGAGTATATCAGAATACCAACTTGAAAAAAAAAAATATTGCAGTAACATGAAAAAAACCCTAGGATAGCTAGCTGTTAAAGTGATCAGAAACCTTAAGACTATATAAGAGTGTCTGCTCCTTATCTCCTTTAACACTCATATTAGGCACTTAAAATCCCTGGCAAAAAGAACAACAGAATAACTCCTGGAAACCCCACTATTAAGAATTTAAGCAAATATTGAATATCTTTAAACATGTATTATTTAATTAATGTAATAAATTTAAATTGTTACAGTTATTATTAAAGTTTTGATCATAACACAATCAAAAAAGCCTGTTCTTGTATTCCTCTAGCTAAACAAAAGATCTTTTAACACTTTCCCACGATACATTTCTGGCTGCTTATGCGTTCAGAGAGAGAACTGATTTTTCTTACCTTGCAGGTGCTTATATTCTTCTAAGTGAAACTTGGGCTAAAAAAAAAAAACACCAAAGGAAAAAAAAAAACCCTTGACAGTTACACTAACCTAACTTAGGACTGACACATTTCATATATTTAAGTATGCATTATTTCATTAAAACCCCTGAGAGATGTATTATCATGTGCAAAATAAACTTTCAGCAATTGCAAGACAATATCCCCATCCGATCTGAAAGATCTCCAGTCACTGAACACGCACATGAAGAGATAAATGTTGCAACAAAAATTCCTACTATAAGAAGTCTCATTTAAATTCTGAAGATCAAAAATTAAAAACAAAGGAACCATCTACTAACTTATTTTGTCACATAACCATTAGGAAGGAAATATGTTTCAGCAGATACATTTTCCACCATTAGTTTGGCAGATGTTTTCATTTCCGTAAGTTTGTTACAACATGTAAGTTTCAAACTAGTTTGTCAGGTACACTCTACTGCAGTGAACTCCACTACACTTTATTTCTGTCTTTTTTGAGTAAACAGGTCTTTTCAAAATGGAAACATTTGTTCAGCTAGCTAAGACAGCAAAACAAACACAAAAAGCATGAATGAATTCACTTTCAACATGAAGCCTTGAGTGCTTCTAAGTCAGTTTCACATCAGCTGAAGTATCTAGTTCATGTTGTGTTTTGTCTATGTAAACAAAAGTAACTTCAGAGAGTGAAGCATAAGACTGACATAATTTTGAACAAAGCAAATGCGTGGAGGTGCAAACTGCAACAAATTCTGATTATAGGCATTACAATATAATTCAGAATTATCTTTAAAACAGGTAAGTCTTGCAAAGATTTCGGGCAATGTTTATGTATTTGCGAACCTGCTTTCCAGGCCCTGTTCAGAAAAACAAATCTGTTTTGTTGCCCCAAATAGTAACTGGCAGCAAACAAAGCAGTTCTTCCCCATCCCTTCATAGCCCTCAGCCTGACACACTGCATTGAGCTGTCAGGCCGACCTGAGGGAACACCCCAGTGCCCCCCAGGAGGGATCCAACAAGCCGCGTTACACTCTGGGTGCCATTTGCTCCGCTGTGCTCTGCCTGCTGGGAAGCCTGTGCAGTGTCTTGGGCCTGTTTGTTTGCAGACATTTATGCCACACTCTTGGGACAAGGTCTCTGGGAAGACCAGCTCGGCCCACCCTTCCGCCCTCGGGCCGCCACCACCACCCTGAGGCAAAGCAGCTCGAGCTGCAGAGAAACGCCCCTGAGGAGACGGGGCCGCTTTGCTGCTCTGACCTAGAGAGGCCCGAAAGGCTCCAGGCAGAGCCCGCGGCCGGAGCTCCTCCTGCGCCCACCGCCCGCACCTCTTCATTCCCAAGCCCTCCGGGGCTCCCCG